GGGGGGGGGGGGGAGGGTCGTTCAAGTAGATTTACCTCACCGAGACGCCTGTAATATTGCGTTTGAGGGAGATACATCGCATTTGAGGCGCTCACGAGACTCGGGGAATGTGAAATTATCGGAGATATAAATTCAATTATTTTAGAATCCGTATGGCGAGGGATGGGTAATCGCCTGTTTGATAACTCCGTAATGTTGAAGTGGGGGAAGTGGTGGAGGGCATGTTTCCAAGGGAGTTTTGGCATTTTTTCAGAGGACTGGATTAAATTCACTCGGCATTCCTGAGGTTAAATTGAAATGTTAGTTTTTACGTCAGATTTTGCGCTTTTGAAGGGAAATTTCATTATTTTAATTTGCCAATAGGTTTTTATTCTAGAATTTTTATTGAGTTTTTTTTATTCTGTTTTTTCTTTCATCAAGAAAATCAAACAAAAAGCGTGGAAAAGTTGAGCCGAGAAAATTATATAGGAAATATCTCGATAGAATAGTGTAGAAAAATCAAATTTTATTGAACTTTTTTGCAGAATATTTTCCATTGAATATTTCAATGGAATCGGCCAAAAAATAGTAGAAAGTTCAATGGAAATCCATTAGAAGTGTTTTTCTACTCCGAAAAATGTTTCATTTCAATCGAATAGAAAATTTATTTGAAATTTTTTGCTTGTTTCAAAAAAAAGGATTTATTTATAATTAATAAAGAATTTATTAACTTCAAATAAATTTTAATTAAGTTCAGAGTAAAAATGTGTTCAATTCAAACAAAGAAATTTTCTTGAAATTTCAGTGGAACTTCTAAAAATTTCCGAAAAGTGTACACGGAGAGAAATATTCAGTAAAAATTACGGAACAATTCACGTAATCCGCAATGGGGAATCGTTTTCCGGTAATTTTTATACGAATGGAAGAGAAGAAATCTGAAACGTTCAGTGAATTTTCAGGTTCATCACCTAACAAAGTACGAAATTGTCACGTAATTTTTCCCGAAGAAGTAAAATCTTACAGAAACTTGCCGACTTATTATGCCTTCAAAATAAAAAATTCTTGAACGTTCAACAATTTTTATGAAGCTGGTGAGTTATTTCTACGTTCCGTTCCGTAAAATTTCTCAATCGTTGGGGAAAAATTACGGAACGATTTGTTGTCCCCACGGCGGTGAGTCATCAGACGGGTGGTTAATTTTTACGGAACAAATCGTAGAATTTACGTGGCGATTCGTACAATTTCATTTCCAACTTACACTTTTTATTGAATTTTACTTCGCTTGCGAATTACCTTTCGAAACGTCATTTTTACGTTTTCTTTCTGGTAATTTTTATTGAATTTTTCTCTCCGTGAATTGAAAAGTTCAGCTAAAAATTGTTAGCAATGTACAAGAAAAATCTTTATTTATTATCAATGATTATTTTTCGAACCCAAATATCGGGCAATATAATTGGTCCATTCGACATCACGTGGTACAAGCTACACGGTTTTCAACTGATAATTTTTTGATAATTTTCTCTGGTAGTTGCTATATAAAAAACAAAACATCATGCAGTCGAATTAACCCCTCGTCAAACTGACATATTGAATTCAATTGTGTCGTTGTGTTAATTATACAATTTTCGTTTCTCAATTGTGAGTTTCGTCTCATGGTCCAATTATATTGCCCGACATTTGGATGGGAAAAATAATCCCCCGACTACCACACGAGCTTCAAAATTAATCGGGCATTTTCCTCAAGGTTCCCTATATACAAACGAAGTCGTCAAGTTTTTCAGGAAAAATCACTCGTGCTTCGCACTCGTGATTTTTTAACCTGAAAAACTTGACTCCTTCGTTTGTTTGCAACGAACCTATCGGAAAATATCCGATAATTTTGAAGCTCTTATGGTATTACAAGTGACCAATTTAATTGGATCAAATAAAGGTTTATTAATTAAAAAAAAATGATTTAATATAAACGAAACCCCAAACACAGATTTGTTTTTTTATTTGAATGAAATAAATCATTTTTCCGACTGTAGAGCCTGTCCATTCTAAATAATTAATACACTACATTATTAAAAACATTCCACAGCAATTGTCGCAATTGCAACTCCGTATTCCCCATTGATCCTGAAGTATCCCCCACTGAGCATTCCCCCTCAAATGTCCCAAATTAATCAACAAACTTCCCTGACAAAATCACCGGAGCATTTCTGCAAATTACCAAAATTACAATAACAGCGTACAATCAATTTATCAAAACTCAGTTATTAATTCAGTCATGTTATAAATTCCCATTGAATATCCTCCAGAATACCAAAATGAATTCGGAAAAAAGAGAATCCGAAAAAATTGTCCCATTAATGAGATATAATCCAGACTGCACGAATGGTGGAATGAAATGACGCAATTAATTAGCGGAATTAGCAGTTGGTGGTTTTGGCCAGTGTAACCGAGGGTGAGTGTACGGTATGGATGGGAATGAGTGCTCATGGTTGTGAAGCCTTCGAGCGTAAATATAGTGCATAGCTTAAAGAGCCAGTGAGAGGTACACGCTTGTATGACTGTACATAATTATCCCCCACTAAAATTCACCTTTTCATTTTTTTCATTTTCATTTCCACTTCAAAGAGCCTGAATTCCTCTGCAATTTTCTCTAATTTAATGATGTCCTCTTGCATATCAAGTGCGACGTTGATGTTGAAAGGTGTAGGTATTTTTTTTTTCGTCCCTTTGATGAAAAAAAGTGACGCAATTGTTCCGGAAAAAGTCATGTGGAACATTGTGGCAAAATGAAACAAAGAGATGGAGGGAAAAAATAGGGGGAAAAAAGTTTGTTTTTTGGGTGCATTCAGAAATGTAATGGTTTGATTCGATTGGCACCGATCGTCAAGCATACTTCATCGAAATTTCCGATGGCCTTGTGGGTATGCTCCGCGCCAAACCATCGAGTTTGCGTGCGTCCACGCGTGAGTGATCAAAAGCTTCTATGATTGGTTGCATCAATGCACCCGTAAAATCACGTTGCAAAACGACACAGTATTCAATTTCACCGCGGATCCATTCCAATCGCCATTATCAGACATCAGTGGATACAAAACTAACGTATTCATTTGAAGTAGATGCACTTGAGAATGCAATTATTTGAAATTATTTCCATTCGGATGGATGCGTGGGGTTTCTGGTTCGTTTTGTTGGTAACGAACGGGGGGATTGGGTTGCACTGGGCTACATTTTGATTTTCGATGGAAACGATTGAGACTGGGATAGCGTATACGGAGCGAAAAATTTAATAAAAAGTACCAGAAAAAACGGAAAAATAACGTTTCGAAATGTAATTCGCGAGCGAAGTAAAATTCAATAAAAAGTGTGAGCCGGAACAGAAATTGTACGAATCGCCACGTAAATTCTACGATTTGTTCCGTAAAAATTAACTACCCGTCTGATGACTCACCGCTGTGGGGACAACAAGTCGTTCCGTAATTTTCCCCCAATGATTGAGAAATTTTAGAGCACGGAACGGAGAAATAACTCACCAGCTTCATAAAAATTCTTGAACGTTCAAGAATTTTTGATTTCAGAGCCATAATAAGTCGGCAAGTTTCTGTAAGATTTGACTTCTTTGGGAAAAATTACGTGACAATTTCGTACTTTGTTCGGTGATGAACCTGAAAATTCACTGAACGTGAATCCCTCCTTACCTGAAGAAAACCACCCAGACACGTCGTTGCGTTTGCCAAGACACCGACTTTGAATTTCTTGAATCTCACTCGCAATATCCAGTCCCTCGGTGTACCACGGAATGCCCTGAATCGGTACCAGCAGGTCAATGGCTTGCCCCAGGTATCCGGTGTCACTGCTGGACTAGACACATCCTCGTAAATGTCCACCGTTTTGTTGCAGTGATCTCGTTCCGCTGGAAAAGTACATAGTCTTTTTTACTGGGTTGATATCGTGCCCGAGCGCTGTTTGCTATAAAATTCTTATCAGTCTTCCCTGGGATGTCGAAAATTTGCGAACATGAGAGAGAATATTTCCATTGAAATTGACGGGGATTTAATTTTCTTTGTGAAAAACTGGGGTTATCAATTCCTTTCTAAAAAAATCATGAACAATATCTCGAATAGGAAACGAGAACTCGAATGTGGCGGAAATCTCCAACGAGTGGAAAAATGGGAAAAAATTCACCTAAATAGTTAATAATTCACACCGTCTGGTGTGAATTATCCGCCTCTTGACCCAAATATTTCGTTGCTGTCGAAAGCAGAACAATTATTCATGTTTGAGACTTTCAAATTCGAACCAAACAAATTCTTTTTTGGCAATTTTCAACTAGCGATTTTGTTGGCCCAAACAAGACTTGTTTGACGTGTTTGTTTTTCTCTCAGTGCACTTTAACGTTTGTGATAAAAGGAATTTCATTGTAATTATGATATGCATGACATACCTGTATAAATATATATGGAACAATTGAAATTAATAAATAAAGTACTCTCTATCGCTACGGAGAGAACAAAATGGCGATGATTAAATGGAAAACAATTGTCAATGCAATCCCAGAGTTTCAAGAACTTCTCTACATTAGAAAAGTTACTCAAACTCCCCAAAAAAATAAGTCGGAACCATTCCTCCACTTTTCACTCTATAAAATGGAAAAATACCTGGGAACGTTCCTGAATTGTACTTGAGCAATTTTAAATCCCAAAAAAATCAAATACAAATTGCCTCAAATCCCCATGGAGAATTCAAAGCCACATCCACGTACGTTCGACATAATAAGATTGACGCGTCTACAGCCCGAGGGAAACGTGACACAGGAAGCCGTTTTTACCCGTGAACACATTTCGTAACGCTTGAAATATATTTTTTTCTTGCCATCGGTGTGGGCGAAATATTATTCCTATTTCAGTATATCTCCTCGTCACTGAAATTTGGTGGTAGATTCCGAAAAACTAGAAAAGGGCCCTGGAAATCAGTGGTATATTGCAGTGTTAAAAAATTTTGTCTGAAATTTCCGATACACTTTTCGGAAATTTATATTAAATTTAAGTATCACTGAGATTTCAAGGAAGTTCGTCATCGAAAATTTAGAATTCAATTCCATTTTTCGCTGAAAAGGAATAAAAAACCAGAAAATTTCGGTAAATATATTCTTGAATTTTCAGGACCGTGACACTGAATGCGATTTAGGGAGAAAAATCACGAAATTTCAGATTTAACTGAAAATTCAATGTAATTTGGCACTGAATATTTATATTAGATTGGAAATTCAAATAAATTAACGAATTCTCGTCTTTATGAAACTGGTAATGAAACCTGTAATTTCATGATTTTTTCCCCTAAATCGCATTCAGTGTCACTGTCCTGAAACTTAGTACTCAACTGTCCATGAAATTTCATTTTTTTCCAACAGTATAGTCCGAAAATTAGAGATGGGTTTCTAAAAATAAATGATATTACTCATGATTCACATCTCTCAATAAATGCGTGACATGTTCCTGAAAATTGAAGCCTTTTGCTTCCGAATAGAAGCATTGGAATCTTTCAAATTTGAGATTTGAATTTTTCGTGTTATATCGACCCATTATGATCCAAAAAATTCGAAAATGCAATTTTTAGACCGTGTCCGTACGTAAACAAATTTTTCTTCGATTGTTTGCTAATAATTCCCTGGAATTGAATCTTTTTTCCCCTCAAATGTAGGTATTGTTAAGCCCTATCAATCGTCATTAACTAAAATTAAATTCATTCGTTAATTTTTTTAATGTTTTAAATTTTTCAAAAAGTGTTTTGTTCACGATAACTAAAAAAATATTGTGAATTGATTGAATGATGGCTAAAAAAAGTTGTTTGGTGTCCTTCTGACCGACTTCGAAGACAAAAGCGATAGCAATAATCGTTATTTTGATTTATTTGAAAATTTGCAAAAATTCAGTATTTTTTGAAAATCTGAATTCTCGGGATATCTTTGGATATTATGCATTGAATTCAATGTAATAAATTCAATCATAGCTTAATATATTTGTTTTATGCCATTAACTCAAAGTTAAAAGATGATTACGATAGCTACATTGGTTGATTTGATTTTTTATGATGATTGTTGAAAATTTCGAATTTTTCATGAATTTCCCTGAATGCGAGCTTTCTGATGGTTTCTTCAAATGTGATGTTTCAAATTCATTCAAGTATGTATAAATACAATTCTTTTATCAACATTTTATCGCAGGACTGAGGGGAAAGATAGAACCGCAAAAAGGACAATCGATTGTATAGAAGAAAGGGATAATAAGAATAATCATGTTGATAACGTTCAACTAACTTAAAAATCTGACAAAATTAGTTAAAAAGAAATCTTATTCAATTTAATAAAATAAAATAAACAATGAATTATACATGATAGAAGGAAATAATGTGCAAAATGCCCATTCGGTAGCATATTGCTAATTTATTAGCAATTTCCCATTTGTTTTTCTTTGTGTTATTTCAAAATTCAGTGCTAGAAAGTTTCATTCCGCACATATCCTACTTTATTCCTTTGCTACAAAATTGTATCATGAATACCCCAATTCACAATCTCACCGGCGAAAGCACCCCTGATGGTGATCTTGACTTCTGAACTTAGTTCGGATATATGCAAAGCACGTTCATCCTGATTATCACTGGCTGACTTACTGAAAGTTATATGAGCAACATGACAAATGCTTTGCACCTGTCCGAGTCAGCACATTGTCAAAAGTACGAGCAAAGATGAGAGGAGCTGAGGGGCAGTGAGTGTGGTTACTAAGTGAATAGGTGATCGTGCGAATAGTATATTGTGCCCCTAGGGAGTAAAAGTATTTTCTGACGAATGTGACGTTATAACCCGAGCCGAAGGCGAGGGACAACGTCCCATACAACTCGATTAGATTCGGAATTCTATTTTTAACTTCCCGACCCGAAGGGAGGAAGTTATTGTAATGACCCCGAAAATCGAATGTGGAAATTTAAGCATTTCTCCACGTTTCATGACCTTTGGAACCACTTCTGACCCTTTTCAGGTACCTATCTGTATGTGTGGATGTGTGTATGTGTGTGCGTACGTCTGTGACAAAAATTTTGTGCCACGATTCCTCCTGAACAAACGATGCGATTTGACTTTTATTTTTTTAATCGCTGTATTTTCATGTGACTTGAACCTGATTAGATTATGGAGACGATCGTCTCAGCGTTTCTCCAGTTTTTTCCAAAAAACATTTGGAAAAAAGTCGAAAATTAGCGTTTTTTTGTAAACGAGACCATTTCTCCGTGCATAACGATGCGATTTCAAGTTTTTTTTGTTAGAAACGATGAATCTTGATATAACGCACAAATCATGGAATACTGGAAGACATTTAATCAGCAGTTCACTAGCTTTTTTCGAAATCGATATACATTCAAGAAACAATTTTACTTTTTTGATAAATTACATCTTTTCTCGATGCGGAATACGGCGATGTGTGTGCATGGGAGTGTGTGTGAGTGCGAGCACGCGCACGGATTTTCTTGTCTTCTATTGGTATTTCCTCGGAGAAATGTGAGAAAACGATTGAATAAATAGATAATAAAAAAATTAATGAAAGAAAAAACAAATGGTCGGGAAGTTATTGGTGCGACCCGTAATGGGTCACATCCAATTCCACCAACCCCTACCGGTCATACCCTAAAGAGGGAGCGCGCGAAGCGCGCGACCGGGCCTGATTTTTTTTCTATATTTAATTATCGTGGCCCGAGCCGAAGGCGAGGGTTATAACGTCACATTCGTCAGAAAATACTTTTACTGCCGTGTGGCACACGATATTTTATACCTCGAGGACTGAAAACCGCGATTTAACCGAGCGAAGCGAGGTTAGAATCGCGGTTTTCCGTCCCTAGAGGCATAAAAAATATTTAGAAAGAGCTGTAGTTGAGGTTGTTTAAAGTAGCTCTACCCTTACGGTAAATTCAAAGATTATTGAAAACTGCAAAAAAACTGAAGACAACTCGATTAGATTCGGAGTTCTAATTTTTTTCTATATTTAATTATCGTTTTGGTTTTTCAAAGAAGAAATGTTTTTCCATTGTAATCAAAGATTAAAATCCGATTTTTTTTTCATTAAATGTGAAAAAATCAACAATTTTTTTGACACCTCATAAAAAATAATCCACTGTTTTGCAAAAAAGTTTTATTATTTATTTATAAGAGGGAAATGTTTGAAAAAATATGAATATTTTGCGAAATTTAATTTAGATAATACAATAAATTTCTTTAAAAATTGAAAATCAATTAGAATAATTCGACTTTAGTCAATATTATTTCTTTCACATCCTAAAAAACATTTGAATAAAATGAAAATTTTTCTGAATTTCAAGAATGAATTCAGATGTTTAGTCACCTGTTCGTCTGAATTTCAGACAAATTTTCATTTTATTCAGACGTTCGTTTTTTAGTGCCTGAAAAAGTCTACAAAAGGTGTGTGAAATTCAGACATTCGTTTTTGCTGTGCGGGTACGCAATGTATAGTACACATCAGCATAACCCCCGGCCACCGGTGAATGATTACCGTATTTTAGTCGGTCACATACACAGCGAGGTAAAACCATAACCATGACTGCAGATATAGAAAAAAAAAGTAGTTCGTGCGTCAGGGGAGCAAAACAAAACAACCGAATATCGTGTATTATATTGCCCTGGATTTCAGCGCGTGTGACACGACCCACTCGTCGCGAATGTCCTGTTTTAGTCGTTTGATGCATAATGCACCATGGTAAACGGCGAAGAGTCATACAAGAGGGAAAAACCTGAACAAAAAACTTTTTCATGGTTATGGTGGGCATTACACAAACAACTCCTAGCATGACCTAAATTTTCTATTGAAAGATCTGAAATATGTAAAATGATGAAATCATCAGATGCTTTTG